TAGAGTCACCAATTGTAAACATTTAGCCACATTTGCTTTATCTACTTGACACTTCAAATATATACAATAAGAAGTCTTTATGTGTTTTTAAAAGCTAGAAGTGACTAAAGGCAGAGGATCAGGGCCAAAGTCATGTGCTATTCCTTTTCCCTTTTTTAAATGTATTTATTTTTATTGCTTAAAGTATTACATATATTACATATGTCTCCCTTTCCCCCATTGACCTCCCCCTGGCCATCCCCACCCCCCAGCACATGCCCTCACCCTCTTAGTGTCTGTGTGCATTGGTTATGTCCTTCTCCCTTTCAAATGAGGTTCACTCCACTGAAGACTGGGAACTTTCACTCCTCTCATTTTCTTATTCTACCATCTGAAGTCACACAATACAGTTTCATAGGGGGAAACTGCTTTTGATCATGAAAGCCCAATTATCTAGAAATTAACTGTACCTGCTTACAAGGTGTTGAGCAGAAATGCCCTCCTACAGAGCTGTGCTTTGGCTATCTCTGGGCTTTTTATCATCCATTATACTTCTTGGTACACATTTTTTACTTGGGACACGTTTAATAGTCACCTCAAACCTTGTTTTACATTAGGCAGTGTAGAAGAAGCAAAACAGGACCAGAGCGTATTTTAAATTTCATTTTCTACACAAGACTCTTGAGGACCAAGCAGAAGTTTAACCTTGGAGGTCCTTGCCTCCCTGGGGCTCCCCCATCATGAGTGTCCTCAACGGCACAGGCTGACTTCATCCCTGAGCCACTGCTCATCTCTAGAGGGAAGATGGTAGAATGAAAATAGGTAAATCGTCCCAGCAGGACATCACGTACTTTTTTGCTTATAAAAATAAAAACTGCTTTCCTGCAGCTGGCCAGGGCCCCAGGGTCAGGACGGGGCTACTGAAGCATATCATGCTCTTGTATCATACTTGACCTCTGAGTGCTCCTTAGGAAATCATGAATAATATGACTTCTCTCAAAGGCACTGAAACTTTTACTTCCAATAATCATTTAAACCATTGCTTCACAGATTGGACACATCAAAATCAACTGGGGAAGGTTGTTTTCCCTGTTCTGGCTTCAAGCAGAAATTCACCCAAGACCAACCAATTGGACTTTCTAGGGTTTATGTGTATTTTTTTAAAATAAATTCTTTATTGTTTAAAGTATTACATATAGTTTTACATATGTCTCCTTTTCTCCCATTGACCTCTCCCTGGCCACCTCCACGCCCCCAGTGTCCATGCCCTCACTCCCCTAGTGTCTGTCCATTGGTTATGGTTATATGCATCCATACTAGTTCAAATCCTTTGGTTGATCTCTTACCTCCCCACCCACTTCCCTCTGAAGTTTGACAGTCTGTTTGATGCTTCTCTGTCTCTGGATCTATTTTTGTTCATCAGTTTATGTTGTTCTTTATATTCCACAAATGAGTGATATCATGTGATAGTTACCTGTCTCTGACTGGCTTATTTCGCTTAGCATAATGCTCTCCATGTCCATCCATGATGTTGCGAATGGTAAAGCGTTGGTTTTTTTTAATAAATCATTTGAGGTGATCCATGTTCTTGGGATTCTGATAAGCACCACTGATTAAGAATCCATGACTTTAGATGTAGTGGTCACTAACACAAAGGCTAGCAAGTCTAGACTTACACTTGCAAAAGAGCTAACAACTGATCTGTCCATAGTATTTCAAGGACGGAGAATATCTGGTTACCTAGAATTTCCATAGTTCTTGACTTCGAACCTATTCTTATTTTCAATGCCTGCACAGATTTTAAGATTTTAGATTTTAAGCTAAATAACAAAAAACTTGCATATTAAAACAAAATATTTCCAAAGCTTATGATTTTTATGTTACTTATCTTTCTGATTGCTTAAGCATTAAGCAATTAACTTTTAGAACATGCACTTAAAATCTTCAATTAAAATAAAACCTATGCTTTTTAAAAAATTAGAAACCTTTAACTACTGACACAATAGTGATAAATACATCATTATATAAACATATTCAATTATTCATTCGTTTATTTCACAAAATGTTATTGAATGCATACCTCATGCCAAGGATGTTTCAGGAACTGGGACTATAGCCTTGAAAAAATAAAAGTCTCTGGCCATTCAGCGCACACATTTAGTGTGTAAGCAATAAGCAGGCAGTAAGCAATTACTATATGTTATAAAACATGATTGAAAAAATAAAGCACCGGAGTGAAGGGGTTAGAGAACTGGAGGCCAGGTCTAATTTAGATAGGAAGGTTAATAAAGGTAAGAATGACAAGGTGACTTAGACTAAGGAGGGAATGAGTCCTGAGGACCCAGAACAAGGTTCTAGCCAGAGGGAATAGCAATTCCCCTGGGTCTGGCGAGCTTCCCACTGACATCTCCCCTTTCTAAACTAGTGTTACCCCAGATCTACTTCCTGATGGTTCATTTCATGATTCCAAGACACCTTCCAAAGGATAACCATTAGGAAACTTTGAGACAAAGAGTTTATTACTTACAGGCCTTGGAGCACCAGGCATGCCAGGGGCACACAGCAAGTCATGGATAGAGAACACTCGAGGTTCTGGCCAAGGTTCTGCATTTATTGGGGTCCAGGGTAGGGGCCTAGGGTTTTGAGGACTCACTCTTTCTTGGTGAATTTAGAACATAAGAGCAAGAATTTAAAGCATAGAAAGAAGAAAACAAGCTGCCCATGTGGTTGGTTATTGAAATTAACCAAGTTCTCTAAAACAAGTGGCCAGAATGATGAAGACAGAGAGAATGGATTCATGTGAAAAAAAATTAAGTGAAAAATGTCCTGTTTTTCCTATACAATTTTCAGTTTCACTTAACTGCCTCATACACCCAACTTCATAAATGCTGGACAAAATGTTTTTGGATTTTTTGTTGGAAAGAGAAGGCACTGCATTAACATGGGCACTGATGACGGCGTTAGCCCTTACATTTATAGCTTCACACCACCTGGGTCTCAGAAGGAAACAGTATCGACTGCCTGGCTGGTTTATGCTTAAATATTTTTAGTGTGGGACCTCCGGGCCTCCCAAGGACGACCTGTTCTATCTGGAGATTCCTTTTGTGGACTTTTCCCTTACTTTGACCTGTGTTGCCTGTCACCCACCCACAATACAGTCAGTTTTGGGTATGCTGAGTAAATCCAACCCTCAACCACTGAGCCACATCAGCCGGGCAGTAATTGCCACTTTTCACCAGTTGTTCAAAAGACCTTTTCAGTTTATAGGAGATTAGAGAAATATTGAGGGCTTAGAGAAATGTTGAGGGCTTATCACTATTGTCAGAAAGACATGCAGAAAAATAAAAATGATTTTCCTATCTTAATTCAATATCCACTAGTATTCTAAATCTGTGTCTAAATCACATTTATATCTACCTAAACCCTACTGGATACTTATATCCCTTTAAGTGTATTCATTTCCATTAAAAGCACAAAATTCAAAAGATTTTCAGACGGAATTAAAAAATTTTATCCAGCTTTTATATACTTGGTGTATGAAGCAGTTAAGTGAAGCTGAAAATTGTGTAGAACAGGATATTTTTCACTTTTAGTTTTTTGTAATTAAGTGTAATTTCAATAGTAAATAATTTTTTTTTTATTTCTACCCAAAAATGTTATAACTTATAGAGGCCAAGCAAATTAAAACATATTAGGATTTTACATTCTTAATGCCCTTGTTTTTATATAAATTCAAATGAAGTGAGAAGAGAAATACATGAAGTGGGTAAGTAAATGTTATAGTTAACTGTGGGGCTGTTGCTACGGGCCAGCCATGCTTAAAATATGCCCTACGTGTAATTCACTTAATTTTCATAATCCAATGAAATAGATGCCCCCATTTGCCTAGGAGCAGGGAGGTTGTTACCCACTTTACACAGGTGAGTGAGGAAGCAGGGCCTGGAAGCCAGGCAGTGCGACACCAGGGCTGCCCAGCCCCGCAACACGACTCAGCCGCTTGGGAGGGAGAGGGGACTGTCATACCCGCATTGAATTTATACACAGCTGAACATGCTCTGTCACTCTTATTAGAAGTAGCCTGTTCTAACCAGCTACTCTGTACATGTCCTCAAGATGTGTGGGAAAGACTTTTAAGCTATTATACCTGTGCCAGAGCAATTTTCAGTAAGAGATAAGCCCATGGTATAAAACATGAAACATGAATTTTAAAATTAACATTTGTTTTTCCATAACAGACTCTCCTCACCTGGTGTTTTTATTTTATTTTTTCCCATCAACATTTATTCCCTCTATGTGATGCTATTTTAAAAGAAAATCTTGAGGCTCTGGAGCAGTGGTTCTCAACCTTCCTCATGCCGCAACCCTTTAATGCAGTTCCTCATGTTGTGGTGACCCCCAACCATAAAATTTTCGTTGCTACTTCATAACTGTAATTTTGCTACTGTTATGAATCATAATGTAAATATCTGATATGCAGGATATATTTTCATTGTTACAAACTGAACATAATTAAAGCATAGTGATTAATCACAAAAACAATATGTAATTATATATGTGTTTTCCAATGGTCTTAGGCGACCCCTGTGAAAGGGTCATTCGACCCCCAAAGGGGTCGCGACCCAAAGCTTGAGAACCGCTGCTCTGGAGTCTCATTTTATAATAACATAAAAAGGAAGGGGTGGCCGCACTGTGTCCAACATCACAATTGAGCAGTTGATCATGGACTCAAATCCAATTATTCTAACTTTAAACACTGTAATTAATATTTAAAAATAATCTGTTTTCAAAATTTCATAAAATCTATCAAACCTATGACTCTCAGGTTCTTCATGTATAATATAAAGGGATTATATTAGAATATTACTTTTCTCAAGCTGCTCAAACTCTAAAATTGTCTCTATAATTACAAATTACTTACAACTCAATTAAAAGGAAAAAACACTTTGTGAAAGATCAGTCTTCTTTGCCTGCACAGAGAATTATTCATGTCACAAGAAAAAATAAATAGTAAAAATAAGCGATTACATGTTTTCAGTTAATTTATTTTAGAAAAACAAAGGTTTACAATTGGTGTCCTAAGGCAGGGTATTAGGATTCAACTAGTAATACAGACTCTCAAAAAACCTTTATAGATTAGTCCAAAGTAGAAAACTGTTGGCCCACTCTTGGACTCGGACACATTCAGGAAAAATAGATATTTATAAAAATAAAATGGCAAACCTAACCCCACTTATTGACTGTCTTAACATCCCACATTGGTTTAAGTGGGATATTTCTGCATAAGAACAGCCCAGGGTTTTTCCCTGTCATACCTTCGTATCAGATTGAATTGATGAAAATATTGAAATTATTTTTGCAAAATAAAAACAAAAGAAAACCTACAAAAAAAAACCCCACAACAAAATAAAACCCCTGAAACAAATCACAAGAAACAACAAAAATCCACTAAACAAAAACAATACAGCTAATTGTTTACTCATACAGACTCCTTCTTCAACCTCTAAGCATTTGGCTCCTAATGTTACTACTAAATCAGATACCAGGAAGCATGTGTGAAGAAGAAAATGAAAATTCTAGATCTAATCCATGTCAAAGAAGTTTCAGAAGCAGCAATATTAGAGAAATATTAAAAAGTACACAGTAAAACTAAAAGAATTGCAAGCACATGGGATGCATGGCTTAATTAAAAACACGCATTCTCTCTGAATTATCTTTGACAACTGTCTGGACACCAGATTCAGCAACAGCAAACATCTAGAACTTTGCATTTTGGAAGTTAGAAATGACCTTTACTACTGTAACAAGGCCTACAGACTGAAAGCAATCTCCACTCTTTCTTTCTATGTAATCATAGGAAGATTCATAACAGAATTAGGATCTGTTCTACAAGATTCCTTAAGAAATCTACCTTTATTTTGAAGTGTTTTTTTTCTTTTTTCTTTTCTGGAAATGAAAGAAAAAAAAAGCATTTCTAATAAGCTCTAACATCACATTGAAGGGAAAAGCATACCAGTGAGCAAAATTTAAATTTGTTTTGCAAAGAGTTGACAATATCCTAGAGACATGTAAAAAGCAAAATACTAGTACAAAAAAAGAAGTCAAATTATTCACTTACAAACCATCTACATATTTTTGTTTTCCCAATAGACAGACTTTGAAACACAAACAGAATACGGGACAACAAACAGTATAGAGTTGTGAAAAAGGTAACAGAGACTAAAGACAAAAATCGCTGGACTTTTGTTTGTTGATACATACTTTGCTTTACTCTTTCTTTAAATTTTTTTTCCTCTTGAGGTCTTTCATTTGATACTTGAGAAAAGACAAAAACGTGCAAATGATGGACATCTGATAGTGATAAACACAAAGCAAAAAGCAATAACATGTTCTATCATTTCCTGCTTCATGGGCAATAGCTAACTTCCTTACTAGGCTGAGATTCAAGGGAGGCATCTGTATTTATGTTGGCTTTCCACTGTTGCAAAACGAGCCTGACCCCTAGGAACATTAATATTTATCTTCCAAAAGAATCCTTCATTACTCTTTGGAGCGGAATCTACTGGTCAAATTAATAGCATTTATTTCTAAATTTCATTTAAGAACACTTCATTCTAATATTTCCTGAAATTCCTTGGGAATGCATATGTGATTCCTTACTATAAAATACTAACAGGGTGCCAAACATTAAGAATTAGTAGTTATTACATACTAATAAAGTACATGGGTATAATAAAACAATTACTAGTAACTCCTCAGTACTTAAGACGCAGCTTCAGTTTAGTTGTGATCAGTGGGGCATTAGAAATCACCAAAGACTGCCCTTGGGGATCAAAACCCTGAACAATTCCAGTGTCAGGACCACAAATTACAGTTTTAAAGTGAATGAACATTTTAAAACATTTGATAAAAATCTTTATATTGGATAACCCAATTACTCAAGGAAAAAAAGCCATCTAATAAAAATTCTAAACTTAGCTACAATCAAGACCTCAAAGATAAACTAATCTACAATAAACATAACAAACTATTACTTAAAAACACCAATTTTTATGCATTCCGTCAGATAGAGATTTCCTACATCTTATTATAGAGAGAAGACGACAGGCTGAGAGGGCTGACAGAATTGACAGGATGGAGAAGATAACTGGTCGACCTCTTAAATCACTGAGCATGATTTTGTTGACAGGCTGATTATGTCACTCATTACCCGTTATGAACATAGACATGCCCATAGTATTACATAACAGATGTATGCCAATAAATATGATATGTATATATGTGTGTGCACACATGTATACACACACACGCATACACAGATAAGTTACCAAAAAGTTATAATGCTATAAACATAAAATATGACATATATTACTTTTTAAAAAGCAGCAGGTGCTTTTAATTTAAGGAAATTTTTAGAAATCTCAATATAGAAAACAGAGAAATAAAGCAGGCTGTCTGGCTAATGCAGGGCAGGAGCTACAGACACCTTCCTTTCCCACAGTGACTGCTGAGATGCCTGCCAACAGCTTCGCAGGCATGGTTAATAATCACTGCTCCAAGAAAATCTGTTTCTGTTACAAAGATCAAACATAGACTATTTTTTGCCACTATTTAGGCCAATGTGAAATTTTTATAACACAACTAAGTATAAAGTTAAAAAGTAACATTTTCTCTCCTTTAAAAATAACAAAATAAAATTGCTATGCCATATAAAACCAAATTTTTAAAATTTCATAATCTTAGTATGATCCATGGAAAAAGTTATTGGTTCCCCTTAAAGTCCCTACATTTTTAAAGACTTAATTATGTCCATATAAACTGTATTCAAAATATAAGAGAATGATGGTAGGCGGTGGAATCTTATTTTTCTCTATCAAACACTATCTCCTACCTGACTGACCCACTTAAATGTTCAGCCCAGGAATCTGAATTCTGCCACCGAATATTCAGACAGAGAAACTTGCACAAAGAACTGATCTGTTTTAACATGTACAAGGTAAATTTCCATGGAATATTTTTTTAGATACATATTTCCTCTCTTTGTTCCCAACATCTCCCCATTTTTAAGGACTACTGTAATCCATGCAGTTGATATTAGCAAAATACAAATAACTTGTTCTCTTCTGTAAAGACCATGATTAAATGTCTAAATTCAATAAATAGACTCTTTAATAGTAATTTGACATCATAGCAGAGTCTCAATCTGTCTTTTTCTCTAATACATCCTTGGGCTCTTGCCTGGCAGGCAATAGAGACTGTCCGCTTCTTGGCTCCTGCAGTTCTCTGCTCTCCTCCGTCGCTTCCTGGCTTTCAGTTTCGCTTTTGGACACTTCATAACGCTCTTCTATGTAGCCTCCGTCTGTGTCGGCTGTGTAGATGCCATAGCACATGATGCTGATGACACCCAGAGGCAGGCCGAAGAGGAAGCAGCCCATGATCGGAGAGCTCTTGAATATGGACTGTGGAGAGAGAATTACAGCTCAGTCCCCTCAAGTGCATTCATACAAAAACAGCATGAATGAATGAAAAACCACTACAGGTTTTGTCCTCTTGCTGCTGTCCAACCTGCTCAATGTCAATGTTTCTGCAGTAACTACCATGTTAAAGATACTGTAAAAGATAGAAATTTTATCTCGTGTGTGTGTGTGTGTGTGTGTGTGTGTGTGTGTGTGTGTAATCAGCTTCGGGCAGTAGAAAACGCACCAAATGCTTTATGCCGTTTCTTATGCCATTTCTTTTTCTCACATGAACCACAAAGGTCTGTGTGATGGCTCCTGTGTGCTTGGCCACTGGTGTTCCTGGCTCCAGAACTCGGCTCATTGGGAAGGCTATTTACCATAAAGACGGTGTAACACATTGCTTTCACATGACATTTTTAATACTCGTACTTATCTAGTTAGTAGTAAGGCCACATTCACTTAATAATTTCTGTAAATTTATCTGCTGTCTCCTCAGCTCCCAAAAAAGTAAAAGCAATTTCCCTGGTTAGGTTTTCAACTACAGTACATTCTGAGTGACGAACTCTTTAGAACCACGTAGACAAATTCAGAGGAGTGCAAGGGCACTGTGGATTGAGGAAACAGAAGAAAGCTTCATAAAATTAAGGTGTTTTGAGGCAGAAATGTAAGCAAGAGTGAGAATGTGGCTGGGCATGGTAAGGTGTAAGCACCAGCATGACACAGAAGGGAGGTTGACCAGCAGTCAAAGAGCAGGAAGACAGCACCGGAGATGCAAAGAGGACTTGGATGTGCATCACTGAGAGAGGGAGGAAAGTGATCAAGACTGACTATTCTCGTGCTATCAGTTGTGCAGTGATGTAAGAAAAGGCTGGAGATGGCAAGAGGAAATGAGAAAACCAAGTGGACGTCAGAGCAGCGGCTGGACATAAGGTGCTGAGGGCCAATCCACATTGGTGTCAATAGGAAGGTAAAGGAGGTCACTACTGGTAAACTGAAGAATGCATGGAGTAAAACTATTAGAACTTATCTCTCACCAAGAGAAGGTCAGCTGTATTGGCCAGAATGAATGAAAACACACAGGGGATAGATCCAGACAGGCAACTAGAGCCAAATGTAAGGCTCCACCAGATTCAGGAAGGCCTCCACTCTCAAGCTGGTTGAGCCAAAGCTGGGTAGTAAGAAGATTTCTGAGAGCTCTAAGCAAGAAGGGTTCGGACCCAAGAACTTACAGGGACGGGGAGGAAAGACTGGAAAACACTGCTGTCATGCTCACTGGTTCTGAATGGCAGTTACTCACCAAACACAAAGAGATGGAGACCAGAGAAACAATTTCCACCCATGAACATAAATTCTTAATGTAAACACAGACTTGTTGTTCCCTAGCAAATGAAAATATTTTTACCTAATCCTTTCAAATCCCAGATTTTACCTTAGACATAAAAAACTTATACACCTATATACTGTCTATTATCAACAAAATTAAGCAAACTGTCACAACTTACCACAACAGTAGATTTAGCATCAAATACCATTCTTTTCAATCTCTGCAAAATGCTATCACCTCCTTGGGCCTTAAATTTAACAGAAAAAGACAATTACACCGTTAAGTACTATTACTTCAATTTTCTGTTAGGTAATCTTACAAATGCCGGTCTAGGGTTGAGGGCAAGGGTTGAGGATGGATAGCATGAAGCACCTGAAGGGCCAGGTGTAAGCATGCCCTGTTTCCCTGGCCTACCTTCCCCTGCTTCCTGTGTAGACACTGACTCTGTGAATCCGTCCTCCCTAGTCACATCCCCGCCCCGAGTCCAGGCCTGCCCCATTTCTGAATTTAGCTGACACTATTCAACTCTAGATGCTGCCGGGGTCTTTGCTACTATACACAGAGTTTCTCTGAGGATGAAGCTCAAAAAATAGAGTGCCACCTGGCCAGTGTTGCTCAGTGGTTGAGTGTAGACCCATGAACCAGCAGGTGAAGGTTCGATTCTCAGTCAGGGCACATGCCAGGGTTATGGGCTCAATCCCCAATAGGGAGTGTGCAGGAGGCAGCCAATCAATGATTCTCTCTCATCACTGACGTTTCTATCTCTCTCTCCCTCTCCTTCCCTCTCTCTGATATCAATAAAAACATATTTAAAAAAAAGAAGAGTGCCAAAAGGCTTTTACAGAAAAATTCCTGATGGAAATCAATCACATTCATGGCATCCAGTCACCCCTGAAGTCTGCCCCATCCCTTGACTTTCTCTGCCAGGTGAGCCAGTGAGACCTCTTTGTTAATAGTCTGAGTTGGGTTTCACTAACCCATAAATAGAAGGGCTCTCTTACACACACAGGTGAGTTATATTCCCACAGGTATTACCTTCAGAAATATAAAATCCCTACTGTTATTTCTAAAGCAGAAATACTTGCTACTCTGTGAGCCAACTTTCATATAAGGTTTGTGTAAAGTTGAAACAAGATAACTAAACTTCATGGAAGCATAGAAGACTCATTTCTTTCTAATTTAATCTGCTGATGTGGTTTCATGACCCTCTACCATGGGCTGCAACAGTCCAGTAAGATTTATAGAAAACGAAAAAGTTAAGACTTCTCGTTCATTATTTCTGAGAAATATTTTATAGGATGTGGAAATCTCCACTGTGGCTCTAATTCTCAATATATTTCCTTATCTCTTAAGAAACTGGTCTTATTAACAGGTTTTCTAGGAAAACCAATCCAAATAACTTAACCAATTGTTCTCTGGACTCCAGGAAGGTTCTAAGAACTAGGACATTTCACTATTGGCACAGCTCCGTGCACTGCACATGAAAGCATCCCTACACCCTGACTCTAAAGCCAGAAGCACCTCCCAATCACCAAAAATGCCCCCAAAATCACCCTTATAGGACATTTCCACCCCTAAGCAGTGTCGTGACACGAAGAATCTGCCACAATGTGAAAGAAGCAGGGTATAGAGGGGAGGCCTCCCCTCTCCCCAGTTGCCACTGACTGTCCCTTTCAGAATCAGAGAAGAACTGTTTTCTCCTCCATCTCCTGTCATCATCCTTTGAAACAGAAGTGAACAACTTACTTCTACTGTGCCATCCAAAATGCTATTAATGAACTGGACCATGTCTTCAGTATTCTTGATCTCTCTGTCTAGTAAAAAGTATTGTTGGTTTGAAGTATTCAGTACAACTAAAGTTGGGACAGTCAATTCACTGGAAATAGAAAAACAAAGAAATCAATATCCACATAAGCACACAGATAACAATCATTCTGATATTTGCTTATATTATATATAAGTAACTATAATACAAAAAGAGGGAGCCAAATTAATAGCTTTGCCTCCTTTTGACTACACAAAATTTCAAATTTTGCATCAATTCTGAAAAATAGCTAAATTAAGATTACATGAAGAACATGCTACATAAAATATAAAACATCTGAGTTTTCATAATTAAACTTAAGGAGAAAAATTATGTACAAAGTATCAATTTCTGGGTAATATTACTCCTTGCTACAGATATAGTTAAACACCATCTCTGTTAATCACATACAACCTAAGTGTATTTTATGTTTGTTTGGCTATCCATTCATATTGTGTTTTGATATGCACAATGTATGTGTCCAGTGTATTTTTTCTGCCTTATACTTTGAAAACCCTAGTGAATAAGTTGTTTCACCATGATTGTGGTTCTGTCAAACTCTCAATTACTTTGAATTTTGCTTTAAATGTTTCTCTACTATATATATAGCAGAGGCCCAGTGCAAGAAATTTGTGCACTGGGGTGGGGGATGGGTGTCCCCTCAGCCCGGCCTGCAACGACGCAAGCGTTCCACGCCCAGCCTGGCCAGAGGCCCTCCACGGATTGGGGGACTCTGGCAGGGCTGAGAGGACTGGGCGCCACCATCTTGTGGCTATGGGCTCTGCCATCTTTGTGATGAAGTGACAGTCAATTAGATATATCCTATCTAATAAAAGCTTTAATAACGGTGACAAGGCAAGCGTTCCACTCGGCTGTGGAGGACTTCTGGGCAGCGGGCATGGGATGGCAGCCCCCATGTGGTTACAAGATGGCCACCACAAGATGGCTGGCAGGGGAGGGCAGTTGTGAGCCATCAGGCCAGTGGGGGAGGGCAGTTAGGGGCAACCAGGCCAGCAGGGAAGGGCAGTTGGGGATGACCAGGCCAGCAGGGGAGGGCAGTTGGAGGCGACTGGGCCTGCAGGGGAGGGAGGGCAGTTAGGGGTGACTGGGCCTGCCAGGGAGGGCAATTGGGGGCGACCAGCCCTGCAGGGGAGGGCAGTTGAGGGGGGGAACCAGGCTGGCAGGGGAGGGCAGTTGGAGGCAATTGGGCCAGCAGGGGAGCAGTTAGGCACTGATCAGGTTGGCAAAGGAGTGGTTAGGGGGTGATCAGGCTGGCAGGCAGGCGAGCGGTTGGGAGCGAACAGACCCGAATTATGAGAGGGTGCAGGCTGGGCTGAGGGACACCTCCCCAGTGAATGAATTTCGTGCACCGGGCCTCTAGTATATATGTGTGTGTGTGTCTGTGTGTGCGTGCGTACATATATATTATACACACACACACACACACACATATACATATATATAAAGGCTTGTAATTTTGTATGTCACCTACACATTAGCTTACAGTTATCTGTATGTCTATATAAAAGTGTTATGCAAAAGGAGAAAATGAATTTACACCACTAATTATTGCAAATAGTAACTAAGTCCAGGAGATTACTTTGTTGCTCATAATTCTCTATCCCTCCCTAAGCCACACCCTTTGTCCATTGAGGTAAGGCGAAACATGCTCATCTGACCCCTGACACTGAGGCAGGGCCATGACTGGGTCAACAGGTAGGTAACACACTTGACAAAGCAGAGGCTGGACATGTGTCTGCATTGCTGGGTTTGCTTTCTTGTATTCTGTGACTGCCATGAGAAGGGTATTCCCATGGAAATATCCTTCCAAGGTCAAGGGCATTAAAGACATGTGGAGCAGACCAGAAAGAAGCCACATCTATCTGTGCCCAGCCAGTCAGCCAAGCCCAGACCAGGGAGAGAGAATACATGATTCCTACTGTAAGCCATTGGGTTTCAAGGTGGTTTATTTCCCAGCATTGTTATTAGGCAATGGTTAACTGACTGTGTAATTAAATTCCATATGAGTGATACTGCAAGATAACATCTCATTTTATTTCCTTTAAACTATATACTCACAAAACTCAATACAAAATAATTTAATAGACCAAAGATTTGATAGTATCATATTTATTTTGAGAAAAAAATATAATCAATGTTGCTATGTAATTATCCTATATAATAAAAGCGTAATAGGCAAATTGTCCCCTCAACCAGGAGTTTGTCCCAGAGTTCAACCAGGGGGCGGGGCCAGCCAGGGGAAGGGAGGGAGGCCCAGGCTGGTGATGGTGGCTGTGGCAGGCAACCAGGGGAAGGAGGCAGGCAGCCGCTAGGGACCCTACCAGTGCACGAATTTTATGCACTGGCCCTCTTGTTTTATATAATATGTATTTGCTGTATGTTAACAGTTCCACTGATTTATGTGTCAATGTTAATGTTACAGTAGTGAAGAGCTTTGGAGCAAGAGGGATGTGAATTTGAGAGCTGGATCTCTAACTTATTTGATGCATCCTTTGGCATATTATTTAACACCTTTGAGTTTCTTCTAAGAAATTTGAATTTCCTCACCTATATAAAATGGAGATAATTACAGTACTTATACCTTACTGACTGACCACTCAGTTCAGCCTTGGTCACAGGTAAGTGCTCAATATGGACTTTCAATTCTATTATATACCACCACTATATAACTTCTCTCCTTAAAAAACAAAAAACAAAACAAAACAAAAAAACACCACCAAAAGCAGCATAGTATGAATAAGAGAGAAACCAACCACCCCAAACTATAAGGGGTTGGTGGTAGAGATTATTGTTGTTCTTTCACCACAACTATAGCTCAAAAATCCTACTATCTCACAACCTGTATTAGAAATAATTCTCATGAAGGTAGTATGTCTCTCCATCTCTATATATTCTGAATATAATCCTGGGCAAGCAGTTATTTATTGGACCCAACTGCTTTGGCCTCTTGCAAACGCTACTGAACTGAATCAATGTGTTGGCTTGCCTAGAAGGCCATTATTAGAAATGGTTGTATCAAAGTCCCTACTACATATATATTAAATATCCTACTCAAAATGCATTTCTATGATAGAGCATCACCCTTTAGGAGATAGTATAGCAAAGCAATTTCTTAAAGACTTCTACAAGGTCATCTGAAGACATCTTAGGTTTCTAGAAGCATCTGAAGACAGGGACACTAATTTTCCCATTTTTTTGCATCAGTAGTGCCAAACACAGTATATGATATACCGTAACTACTCACTAAATGTCCACTGAATTGAGTAGATTCTTATTCAAAACATATTAATTCAAAATACGTATGGCAAATGTTCCTAATAACAACCTTATGAAGTAACATTTCAGATTTTTACATCATAATATAATTGATAAAGTTATTTTAAAATTGCACATTTTCCCTATAAAACTATTTTAGTCTGTTAAAATAAATTCTTTTGGAGGGTAATTAATTCTTGAATGTTAAAAATTAATTCTTAAGTTAAATTGTTCATTGAAATTGAACTTAAGGTAAGGTGTGTATTAAATGAAACTATAAATTTTATATGTTTTTGAATGATGCTTCTTTTCAAACTATAAATTATTAACACTGAATTAAAAGACATTTTTTAGTATAGAAAAATATAAAAGTTTTAAATGTAGACTTAAAAATGTAAAGTATTTATTGAGAGATTGTGTGCATTGGATTAGATCTTCTGTCTGTCTCTAAAAAACAGAAATTTTAAAATAGAAAGAATTGATAGGGAAATCATTTAGTACTTACTCCATCAGCAAGGTATTTATATAGTCATTCCCATCCATATGTCCAAACTGAAAATCCCTAACCAACAACAATAACCAAAAATGAGAGAGAGAGAGGAAGCAATATTTAGTACAAAAAAAGAATGGAACTTGGTAAGCATGTAAATAAATGCTTAACGTGTAAGTTACATATAATAAATGTAGAAGAGTGTGAATTCTACAGACTTCTGAGATATGAATACACATAAGTAAAATCAAACACATTCTAAGACATTTTCTACTTTGTATATATTTAAACTCAAGGCAACGTAAGTCTTTCAAACTATACAACATGTTTAAGAAAAGTTACACACCCAACAAGAGGACTACTCAAAAGATGGCTCATTTATAAGTATATGTCACTGATACCTCATTAGAAGATGCAATAAAAGGGAATAGCAACTAACTAATATAACAAGTTTATATTGACTATCTCATGCCAGCAACAAATAGAATGATTTAGCACACTGCAAAAATATCACTTAGTTTAATATTCCATTATTCTTTGAGGTCCTGTTATAAGCATCATTTGTCTATCTGACTCGAGATTGCTCATTTAACTTTATCTCAAATGTATGAGCCTACGTACATCTTCTTACTGCAAACTTATCCCAAATCCTATCAAGAAACAGGTATGTTGCAAATTTGTTGAGGGGACATATCAACAAACTTCATGTCCAGACAATTCATACACAAATGCAATCACTCAGCTCCTTGATTCATCTGGGTAAGTATGAAATACTAATCGTTTTGATTAATTGTACAAAACACAGTTAAACAAAAATAGAGGAACTGTCCTGAGTGCAAGCACCTACCTGTGGAACTGATCTCTGTAATCTCTAGCAACTTCCTGAATAATTGACTTCAATCTGTAGAACAACAAACACACGAATATTTCATTTTTCACTTGAAATATATAATTACTCCATTATAACATCTCATCTGCCACTTGATCTAAAACTGCAGGAAAGGATACTCTATATTAAGTTTATCTGAAGCCATGTAAAGTTGAGTTAGGTGACACTGGAAGCTTAAAACGATTTCAAGGCACTTTACCTGGTATGTTCAATTGATGTATTTTTCTCATCAATAATTGCAATAGCCACAAGCTTTCCTGAAATTAAGAAAAACATATCTAAATTCAATAACCCTCATTATGCAGACTTTTCAATTATTATTGCAGCTGTGAATGGGGAATTAGTAAACATTGCTTCTAGAATTAAATTCCAGTTATCTCACACATGTTACACTCAGTAGAGTCAATCAGTGAGTTAGTGGACTCAAAGAGTTACATTCCCTCCCAGCTCCCATCCTCATAATTAAACAACAGTAAATATTTAATAGTTCACATACACAAATTGTATTTTTCATACAACCCACAAAAAGATTAAAATAAGAAGTCTTTCAATACAAAAACCATAAGAAATAAGTCGATAAACAAAACTTACTATTAATTACTGTAGCTCTAAAAGGATGGTGTATAAGGAGAATAATTTTTATATTGCTATTCCCTTCAGTACCACGAGTCACTACTTTCCAGTGATAATACATAGAATAAAACTGAAGCAAAGTTATTTAACCCTGCACAGAATATAAACCCCATTCATCTCTGATATTCTCTAGGAAGGCAGTGTCTATCATGTTCTCTGCCTTGGCAAACAATGGTGAAGCACTATCACTAATTAGCTGTATGATTTACCTCAGTAACTTCCCCTTACTTTAGAAAATAGTATAAATTTCAAAGTTACTGGGAGAGTTGAATGAGATTACATGCACCAAAATATTGGTACAGTTTCTGGCTCAAAGCAGGTATATACATGTGCTATTAAATCAACCATTTCTCAATCCCCCATAGGGGGCAGGAGGCAGCTGATCATTGTTTCTCTTTCATTGATGTTTCCATCTCTCTCTCCCTCTCCCTTCCTCTCTCTCTAAAAATAAATAAATAAACAAAAACATATTTTAAAATAGACCTTAAAGTTAATTTTCTCAGATCAATCAAGGAGAAATTCTGTGCAGTAATGGAGAGCTATATGTATATTTCTACCTGTATCTCCAAGTTCATACAAGAGAAAGCCGTCCATAGTCAGATAATTCTGAAACCTCTCCCTGTTGATCCAAGATGACAAGTCACCATCTTCATATTCTTAAAAAGAAAAGAAATTTGATAATTATAGTGTAGATATGTTTTTATGATGTTTACAATATTCTACTCCAGCAATATGTATAAAATGCCAGGATCATAATCTTCAATTCATAAATTCCATTTATAGAGGTGTATTCTAAACACACAGATGCAGTAAAGGTATGATGCACAGAGCAATGCTTCACTGTGAGTTTGCTGCATACCTCAGAGAAGCAGCTGGAAATTACTGTTAACTTTGTTAAGTGCTATAACAGCATGTGGTTACCTAAAAAAAAGGCCACATTTTTAAGAGATGCGGAATAAAGCACACAATAATTAAACACCACCAGGATTCTGCTTTCAAACACTTCAACTTTTGTTGAAGAGAAAACTTGTTGAAGCAAATGTGGGTAAGATTTGGTCCCTGTTTCATCTGGATGATGGGTATGTATGTAGGGATTTATTATTTAGCATTCTGCTTACTATTGTGTATATTTAACATAATAAAAATATTTTAAAACCAGGCTGAGTATTTGCTTCAAGGAAGCAATGCTGAGTAGTGGCTGCTTCCGTCGAGCAGGAAGAGGTGGTGGTAGGCAAGAACATACAGACGTCACCACTATTGAGGATGTTATATTTCTTCACTTTTTTGTATGTCTAAAATATATCTTTTTAAAAAATTAATTTTGAAAATTTAAAGAAATGTATAGAAACTGCATAGGGTTCACTTCTGGAAAAGGCAAATGACCTCACCAAAAAATAAAAATAAAAGAAACATTCAAAACCACAACCCAGAAGGAAAGAACAGTAAGCTGAAGGGTAAGAAAAATGTCAGTCAGTCATTCAGCTAACTGGGTAGATTATGGGAGCTGTAAGAAGCAGTTACATTTACAAAATCTTTCATTAACACCCAAATATTGTAAGAGAGACAGCATTTTAATGTTAAAATGTTTTATGTAAGCTAGAGCTTTGGAACTTACCATCGTAAACAAAATAGGTTTCATCTTTGAAAACAAGCACGGCGGGCATCTCCTTCAGAGTCACGTACTGCAAAGATCAGGTGTGTAAACAATCTTAGTTAAACTTTTTCAATTTGTAGCTATGATTTCAAGATTATTAAAGGATTCCAGGAAAGGAGGAAAAACACCTAACAATGACAAATTGTTACAATTATTTAAAAAGAGCACAGTGAATCCCAAGTTCATTCAAGGACTGGGTTTGATCTCTTTATATACCCATCACCAGGCATAGTGCCCTGGTTGCTCTCATGGAAACAATGGAATACTCTTAGAGTGGACAACAGACCTAAAGATGTAGGAAGTAAAGGATGAGAGGCACTGTGAAGTGGCCAAAGAGCAGGGCCTAAGGCATTAGTCAGCACAGGCAGGTTCCAGTCCCTCCCCACCATCCCAGGGCTATGCGATGATTACATTGCGTTACCTGGGAATCTTACACACTGAACATTCCTACTTAAAACAGTTTTTCTCTTGGCTTCCTCACTCAACTTGTTTTCCTATGCACTGGCTATTTCTTGTCATTTTCCTTTGCTGTCATTAGGTCCTGGGATCTCTTATTTCCTTAAAACTTTGCATCCAATGTTTAAGGAGTTTATTTACACAGACTTAACTCTAGATCCCAAACCCAACTGTGTATTTGATTCTTGTACTTTGATATCTAATATGCTGAATCAAATTAATAAACAATTCAAAACTCTTGTTCATGCCCTCCCCTCCCCCACCCCATTCCCCAACCTTTTCCTTCGGCAATAGCCCCAAAGCTCATGAAAACACCACCATCTACCCAGCTGTTCAAACCAAAAACCTAAAGTCATTCTTAATTCTTCCTTTGCCCTCCAGATCAGCAAGCACAAAAAATTCTATTTCCCAAGCACAACAATTCTTTCACTTCTCCCTGATTCTCTTACTAACTAACCTCCAAGCCCAAACTTCCTATATTACTTCAAGAGTTCAACTGATCTTGGGACCTACTATCATCACTATCCAGTTCATTCTGCACTTGGCATAGAGTAATGTTCTTAAAATGAACGTAAGACCAAGTCCTTCACCAACTTCAACTGATCACATGACTGGCCATGACCTGCAAGGCCTCCACTGGCCTCTGCCTACCTGCTATTTCCTTTCTCACTGCATTAAGATCACACTGGCTTACTACTCTGTTCCCAAATATGCCAGGCGGGTTCTCATTGTGGGCACCTGTAGTATCTGTTCCCTGCTTCTGATTTCCTCTGGCCACAGATCTCTACATGGCTCTTTCCTATTATCTAAGTCCCAGTTCAACTATTTCTTCTCAGATTGACATTTCTTGATCAAGGAATCTAGAGCAGCCATGCCACCTCTAACTGCTCCCCATAAATGCACTGCTCCCTTATTTTTACTACAGGCCTGGTGTACGAAAGTCGTGCACAGGTGGGAGGTGGGGTGGGGAGGGGGAATGGTGTCCCTCAGCCTGGCCTGCACCCTCTCCAATCTGGGACCCCTCAGGGGATGTCCAACTGCCGGGTTAGGCCCGATCCCAGTCAGACATCCCTCTCACAATCCAGGACTGCTGGCTCCTACCTGCTCACCTGCCTGGCTGCCTGATCACCTCTAACCCCCTCTGCCTGCCTGCCTGCCTGATCACCCCTAACCATCTCTGCCTGCCGGCCTGACTGCGCCCTAATTGCTCCCCTGCCTGCCTGATCACTCCCTAACTGCCCTTCCCTACTGGCCTGATCGCCCCGGAACTGCTTGCTCCCCCATGGCGGCCTGATTGCCTCTAACTGCTTGCTTCCCTGCCGGCCTGATCGTCCCTAACCACCTCTGCCTCGGCCCCTGCCACCATGGCTTTGTCTGGAAGGAAGTCAGATGTCTGGAAGATGTCCGGTCGACCAATCTAATTAGCATATTACCCTTTTATTAGTATAGTGATCATGATATCCTATTTATAGATCTGTTTATTAAGGATCACTACCTCAGTCTGAAGACCCAACAGAGGAGATCAACTGCAATGCTAACATGAAGTCCACTTCCTCTACCAGGAGAATGTGAGCTCCATCTTATCAGGGTCTGAGGCACTGGCTCATCATCAATCCAGAACTTACACCGTGCTTGGCACAAGATTAGAGGTTAAGAAGTAGTCATTTATTCTACAGATATACATAAGTAAATCCACTACTTACAAAACAATTAAGGGTATGAATAACAATTAAGGGTATGAATATCACCTCTCACAGCTGCTATTATTTTAAAGAAAAAAAACTAATGTAAATAAAATCTGTAAATGCTATCAATCTAGTGATATTTGCTTGTTAACAATAAGCAATCTGGTACCAATTGAACATGTTTACTGTTTCCACACAAATCACAGTTAATAAATCTTACAGATAAAATCAAGTAATAAGTTAAAGATTAAAATTAAGTTATTAAAGTCTAATTTTAAATATTACCTCAGGAACCACTTCTTCTGAAGCAGAAAAGAAGTATGTATATACAATTAATTCTGAAGCAGCATCTATGTATTTCTCCTATGAAAATACAAACAAAAAAAGGTGACTTTAAAATATTAAGACCAAAATTAATTCTTCATTAACAATCAGAGCAAATTGTTTCATTCACTAACTAGTATACCACAATCTGCTATCGTAAGTCCTTTTATGTGAAAAGATCTATAGATAAAAGCGTAATATGCAAATCAACAAGACAGTGGAACGACCAGTCGCTATGACGTGCACTGACCACCAGGGGGCGGACGTTCAATGCAGGAGCTGCCCCCAGCTCCCTACCCCTGGCTGGCAGGCTCCAATCACCCGATGGGGAATGGGGAACTGGGGGTGGGTTGCAGCAGACGCGCCAGGCCAAGGCAGGTGAGAGCAGGGCCCCGATTGTCCCGCTGGTCACCCCACACACAGAGGGTGACCGGCAGTGGCAGGGGGTTGTTGGCTGCCAGCAGCCGGGGAAGATTGGCCCTGACTGCAGGCCAGGCCTAGGGACCCTACCCGTGCACGAATTTTGTGCGCCGGGCCTCTAGTAGACTATAAGCCAATAAAATAAGCTGTTTGAATGGCAAAAGACCATTGTAATTAAGAGCTTTCAGCCGAAACCGGTTTGGCTCAGTGGATAGAGCGTCAGCCTGGGGACTGAGGGGTCCCAGGTTCGATTCCGGTCAAGGGCATGTGCCTGGGTTGTGGGCACATCCCCAGTGGGAGATGTGCAGGAGGCAGCTGATCGATGTTTCTCTCTCATCGATGTTTCTGACTCTCTGTCTCTCTCCCTTCCTCTCTGTGAAAAATCAATAAAATATATTAAAAAAAAACAACAACAAAAAAAAAACAAGAGCTTTCAAACTCTTCCAAATAGTTTAAGTACAACATAAGCTCAATTCATATCTATTAATTTAATTTGATGAGTATAGGAAGGGATGTGTGTGCATACACGCACATATACACATAAAATAATTTAAGATAATGATCTGTTGCCTTTAAAAAATTTACATTTAAATTGCACGTTTTAGTCTCAAAGGTTCAAAATGCTAAAAATTTTAACCAGGTCAATAACAAAAGAAATACCAAGGCAGGCAACATCTGCCCACTTTTTATTTACTTTTGCTTCATAGAGGTAAACACTATAGAGGATATATAAGAAAATATTTTTATTATAAAAATACTTAGATTGAGCTAAAGTATGTCCAACAAAAGTGAAGTAAGTTTGAGTCTTTGGTAAACTTTTGGATTAAAAAATAAAGTCATCTGATACCTTCAAAGTTGACTCTCCACCTACATAAACAAAAAATACACGATGTCTTTTCTGCACATGTTCAAACATTTGCTGACTTGGAAGTGGCCGAATTAGTGCTCTGTTTGAAAACAACAAAAACAAAAAATGAATTTGCATTTGAACTAAAGACAGAACAAATCAATCCTACCTATATGATCTAAATTTATAATGTTTAAGTGCTATATTAACTGCATTTTAAGTGTATCACCCAATCCACATTAATCTAATAAAACTGTAGTCCATGACCACTATTATACCCATATAATAAAAATATAGCACCCACAATTTAATCTACCAGTTTAAATATTAAGTTTCAAATAGAGTACCATCTTAGCCAATATTCAACAAACAATCCACATAAGAGTATTTTTTTTTTCTAAAAGATCATTCACACAAGCATATGTGAAATACTATCCCAGGAGTTTCTGATACTATATTAAGAATATTTACATCTTACACTGTTCATTTAATTGCTACATAATTTTAAAATGCCCTACAGAGGTTAAAATCTAAAAGTTTTCATAAGCATGCTATTCTTTTTAGAAAGAATAAAATGGAAAATAGTAGTCATAATAGTACATAAGAAACTCATAAAGAGAAAACCAAATGGAACAAAGATTTTATTTATTTATTTTTAATAATATATTTTATTGATTTTTTACAGAGAGGAAGGGAGAAGGATAGAGAGTTAGAAACATCGATGAGAGAGAAACATCAATCAGCTGCCTCCTGCACACCTACTGGGGATGTGCCCACAACCAAGGTACATGCCCTTGAATGGAATCAAACCTGGGACCTTTCAGTCTGCAGGCCGATGCTCTATCCACTGAGCAAACCGGCTAGGGCAAAGATTTTATTATATAAGCATATGTCAAACCCAACAAGACTAAGAGAGTACATCAAAGGTTATTACAAAACATACCACGTATAAAATATTATTAAAAAACTAAAAGAGTCTTCTTTTAAATGTGCCCTATATTATCACATTTTTTACTTCACAAAATTTGCAAAAAGAACAAAACACATTTTCCAAAGGCAAACACATTTTTAAAACGTACAATTCTTTAGCTGCATTGCATCACTCTACTCTAGCTCCTATTTTTCCTTGAGTAATTAACTGGTAACTGATGTAACTCCAGAACCCAATCTTGAAATTTCATTTGCAACAGAGTCACCCCTGGTTACATCAGGAGAGCCCTTCTTAAGATTAAACTAAAACATTAAACATTGCTAAAACATAAAGACTAAGTAAATCATGAGGGAATAAAGTACAACCTACTAACAATCCCCTCATATAATATAAAGTTATTGTAAAATTTACTTATTCACAAAGCAAATAGACAATTAAATGTGTAATCAATGTTAAAATACAGTGAAAATTATATTAATAAGCTTTGCAAACTATACTATATAAAGATCATTCCTAATTCTTTGCCTTTTCTCAAGTAATTTAAAACAGGGAGTATCATGCCACCCAACAAATCCATCCCAATATTTCAATTTACTTTAAAGCTATCAATATAATATATCCTGTCAAACTCATAACAAAGTGTCTATACTTTTAAAGTTAATATAGGTTAAACTATCTTGATCAGGGGTCCTCAAACTACGGCCCGCGGGCCACATGCAAATACAAATATTGTATTTGTTCCCGTTTTGTTTTTTTACTTCAAAATAAGATATGTGCAGTGTACATAGGAATTTGTTCACAGGTTTTTTTAAAACTATAGTCCGGCCCTCCAATGGTCTGAGGGACAGTGAACTGGCACCCTGTTTAAAACGTTTGAGGACCCCTGATCTTGATGAATGTTCTCCAAAAAGTTGCACGTAATCATTTTAATAATTATAAACAACAACTTTCTTTATACCCCAGAGCAAAATGTAGATTAAAACAAAATCACTGCTTTCAAACCATCAGGAAATGCTTATGGAAGCACACAGGTTTCAATTATGTCACATTCTAGGCAAAATGTGTAGTAATACCTTAGAGTTGGCATAAAGCAGTGTGTGATAGATCAGGGAAAGTATTTCAGTTGTATCTACAAAGCACTTTCCATCATCACAGCCTAGGGATTAAAAGCCCAAGTCTATTCAGAACAATAATATTATGAGGTTTCTTGTGAAACTTTAAAATCAGGTAACAATAAAAATAAAATGATGTAAGCCAGGTAGTAGAAAAGCAAAAGTATAATAAAATAAAAATTAAGATTCACCAAGTTATTAGAAGTAATCAAATTTTGAAAATCAATTAAAAATTGGGAGAAAAAGTCTTCAATACTATAAATAAATTTAAATGTGAGGTTAGTAAGTACCACAGCTCTCCCCCTTGTCTTTTTTTAAAGAATCTCTTTGCATAGTCTATGTAGCCTTGCCTTCTCTCATAAATAAGTAGACAAATTTTATTCAGGTTAAGTCCTTCAATAATGACCTATAAAAATAATTTAATTTTCAAATATTGATACCATATACTAAAGGTCTTTTCTAGTAAAAACTTACCCAGATACTCTGTGAGCAAACTCAATAATATCATCTTTAGTTCGTGGTCCTCTATAATTATATGCCAAGTCCCCTTTTAATCTTAAAAAGAAAACAAAAGAAAAAAGCTTGGATTATTTCAACTATTTTAATATTTAATGCTAATCAATCAATATTATTATATAAAATTATAGTACATAAAATAGTAAATGGAATATGGAGAAGAAATAGCATAACCACATAAAATATAGTAGACAACTGGCTTCAGAGGACCAGCAACTCCAAATATAAAGAAAAAGGCTGTATTTTGTTAAAATTACACGAAAATAATTTACTGTGTATTTGATAGTTGCACTGCATCTACGTCTTCTAAATAATGAATAATCTACACATTCATGGTCAAGCACTGTTCAAAGCATTATAATTCTGTTTTCTCTTTTTAAAGGCAAGTAAAAGGCCAGGGAATTAATAGGACTTTGGTAGTGATGAAACAAATTTTAAGCCCTATAATATCATAGTAACTTGAAAGGTGCTCCAAGATTATAGAGTAAAGCAATGCATAAAAACATCTCTTATTGAAAATTAGATAATTTCTAAAAGCCTGCCAATGAATTATGTGTCCAACTAAGAATTAAAAAAAAATTGTGATAGCACAACAGAATATCTATAATTAAAGAATGGAAAGGATAATTTACTTAACACAAGAAAGTAAAAGAGGTTTAGCAAACATTTAAAAAGTGGGGGAAGATGAGAGGTCAACACAAAACCCAAGAATAAAAAAATAAAATTACTCAAATTTTGAAATTTGAATTTTTAAAATAGTGAAATAAAAACTTACTTCATTATAAAAATAAGTTTTAACACAATTTAACTCCCCATATTATCAAAATAAGGAGTGGATGAAATGCCTGAGAAAATTCAGTAAAACAATAATTATAAAATAAACCCTTTAGAATTCTTACCCCATTTCTTCCAACATATATAATATATGTTATGTTTGATCAACAACTACAGATTACAATTAACATCTATAAATTTGATCCTCTTTATTTCTTTCACTCTAATGAAATATCCTTCATAATTACAAAAAGTAAAATCTGTTAGGAGACAGGAATCACATGACAAAGCAGAATATACTCTGGAGCTCCTCAAGGGTAAAAGACCTTCTATAACTAGGACTTGTTACCTGGTCCTTCATAAAATATAGAAGACAACTGGCCTGTCACAGTCAAATCTTGTTTAATGTATCAGCCTTTAGTAAACAGCACATTCATTTAAATACAAAAAAAAAGCATAAAGATGCAGTCCCTCTCCTTTGATCACATCCTGGCCCTGGAAAGAACTACTGAACCCAAAACTTCACTCCTCCATGGAAAGTACTAGGACTTAATCTAATAAAATGTAAGTAGAGTGAACTAATAAAAATACACATATAAACATACAACACTCAACTTACAGCTTAATTGTTGGATAACCTCGAACTCCAAACTCTGAAGCAATGCCTTGATAAGAAAAAGAATAAAAATTCTAAATTTTTTTTAAAAATGAGAAACTAGGTCATAAATGAGCCTTTTTTACTTAAAAAACATATATGTTTATACAAATTTATATAGATATGCTGTTTTACCTCTAAGAGAATATAAACTCACAAAAAGAAAAACATGACGTTCTCATACAAAACAATTACTTAACAATCTAACCTACACCCTACACAAAAATCCTATGACAAAATAAGAAATAAATGCCAAAAGAATAGTTAAAATTTTGACTCTAAAGTACTTATTTTAAAAGATAGTCTTTTGTTTTAAAATATATAAACACATATAAATAAAGTCTCACTTCTCATTTGACTTCCTTTCCAGCACTAATATTTCTTTAAAAAAAGGGGGGGCGGGGGAAGTAGGAGGGCCCATCTCTTCCTTTAATGTTTTCTGAGTCTTAAAAGAACTGCATTGCATTTTACCTTTAAAAACAGTCATATCTGCAAAATTATTTATTTTCTATAGTCAGTATATGATCTAAAATCAACTTTATCCAAAAGGTTTTAGAAGTTTCTGCTTTTGTAATAACCTAGAGTAATTCCAATAGACACAAAGATTATTCTGAAATTAGAGGTCCAGTGCACAAAATTCGTGCATGGGTAGAGTCCCTAGTGGCTGCTGGCTGGGGCCTTCCTTCATTCTGCACCACCCTCTGGTGGTCAGCGCACATCATAGCGATCGAACTCCCAGTCAAACTCCCGAGGGGACACTTTGCATATTAGGCTTTTATATATATATAGATAGATCCTCAAGTTCAAATGAGATACATTTGGTACAGTAGCATCTTTTTAAAGGAAAGGAGAAATAGTAACAAGTACAAGCAAAGAATAGAGACTCAAGGCTTTAAGAATTATAGAAATCATGATAGTAAATGAATACTAATCCTTCACAGATTCAAGGCAACTAGAACAGTAAAGAAAAAGTAACAATTTTCAGTTAACAGACTATATACAATATATCTGCATATTATACTAGTGTAAGTACACTGCATTTACTGATCTCTCCATTTGTTAATTTTTTTTATTCCCACAATATTTTATTATCACAGCTGGGTGTAAGGAAACTGTCTCCACGTGGGTTCTGGCTTACCTGTCATGATTTTAGTAATTATTAACCTTTGGTTTCAAATCACTCCTACCAATATACATGAATAACAACAAAGCAAATTTGTGGCAAAATAACATCCAAAATCTCTGTCAACCCTAAAGCTTCTCTCTTACACATGGAGAGGGGGGAACCAGAAAGTGGGTTTTATTAGAGGCAGCACAACTGAAGAGGTAACAAAAATAAGGATTCAGGTTTTGAAGATGCAGGTCCTGCTTCTGAACTGTCATATGAACTTAGACCAATTACAGAATTTATCCAGGCCATCTCTAATGCAGGACTTCTATCAAGTACATTCTAATTGAAGACTGTTGTTATAGAGATTGCCTTCTTCCAAGTAAAAACAAAGAAATGATTTGGAGAGGCCCGGGCTGGGTTGCTCAGTTGGTTAGGGCGTTGTCCCAATATGCCAAGGTTGCGGCTTCAATATTCAGGCAGGACACATACAAGAATCAACCAATAAATGCATAAAAAAGTGAAGTAGCAAATCAATGTTTCTCTCTCCCTTCCTCTACAAATCAATATATTAAATAAATTTTAAAAAGAAATGATTTGGGAGACATTATGTGAGTAAAGTATGTTCTTAATGCTTCTCATTCCAAATTAAGGCAGGTAAATACAAGCCCTCATCACCTTCAACCAGAGCTCATTAAAAACTGCCAAAGGTAAAGACTAACATAATTGATTGAGAGGAGGACACATCCCACTAGCAACTCCTCATACAATGTAGTGTAAAATTTATTCATATATAAATCAAATTGAAAAAATGAAATATGCAATCAAATGAGAAAATATAGTAGTGGTATTCTGTAACTTGGTGGTGTTTCTCACAATAGGCTTCAGAGAAATTTAACCCCATCACTTCATTTCCCTGACCTCAGTGCTTCCTAGCTATAAGCTGGAGTTTTATAATACCACCCACTCTGCAGTCCCTTTGCTCCTTGAACATATCTTTATTTCTGATAGAATTTCAATTGACAGTGATTCCTAAAACTTCAAACTTAGGTTTCCCTTGAGGAAAATGGTTGTATAATTTATAAAAGCACACAAGCAAAGCATGAGTTATAGACATATAATGACCCAGGTTAGCATTCCAACTTCATTTATCATCTGCGCAGCTCTGAATAATTTATTAACAAATTTCGGACAATCACAAGAATTCTCACTTCATATTACACAGTGTTTTACAAAGTATCATACTTTTAAAAGATATTAGCCTGTAAGAACATGTAATAAATAACTTCAAAATGCAATGGCTATTTAATTTTAAAGCGTGCCTTTAACATTTATGTGAAACGTTTTTTGTACTCCTTCAATAGAAACTTATCTGGCGAGTTCCCCATCTGAAGATACCACTCACCTTGTAGGGTTACGGGTGCGACTTTACCATGAGAACACAAGTAAAAAAGAATCTAACAGAGGATCTGGCACACAGAGATCCTCAAATGCTAGGTCCCTTTCCTTTCTATTCTTGATCCTGACTTTACTTTTAAGTAATTATCTGCTGATAATTCTATGTACAGATGATAATAAGCATTAGCATGTGTAGAAAACTTATAACTGGCTTTTACATTTTTTGTTGGTTTCATTATTAGAGAATAGTTTGTATAGAAATCTAAGATTAATTCCTTCACAATTTGAAGAATCCATTTGTAACATGAATAACTTGTCATTTTAAATAATCATAAATGAGGGGAAATGTGAAACCGCTATTTTTTTATTTTCTCTTTGAAATGATAACTTGAAGGGACAGACAAGCTTGGTGGTGGATTCATGGTGATCTTGGATTCTGGGTCTAATTTTACCTCTAAATTCAGTGACTGAAATCACTCAAAGTCATTTCACTGCTAATTACCTTCCATTACTTCATCTATACATTGGGAGGGAGGAGCAGTAAAGAGCTGAACTTAATTTAAAGTCCTTTTCAGCTCAAAATGTTTTTCTTAACATTTAGTGTTACTATGTGTCTGACATGAAAGGGAATAAAATATAGCAATGGTTCTCAATTGGGGAAGGGGGGGGGGGCTGACCTCTAGGAGCCACTGGGCAATGTCTGGAGACTTATTTGGTGGCCACAACTTGGGAGTAAGGGGACAGTGCTACTTCTAGACATCCTACAATGAATAGGATCTCCTTCTCCCTCCAAAGAAAGAATTATTTGGCCCCAAATATCACTAGTGCAAATATAATCTGTGAACAAGGAATCAGAATACAAATGTTATTGGCCAAATGTCACTGCAAGTTTATAAATCAGAGAGAGGTAAAATATGAACTTTATCATACAACTGTCACAATTCCTCAACTTAGGTTGAGGAATAAACAGAATTTCAGTGGTTTCATAAGAAAAATCAATACATCATTGCAGCTAACATTATAACTTTTTAAAATTCCAAACAAGACACACTTTTAGCACTCACTATTGAAGGGATATGTGCAAAGAGAGAAGCTAAAATACATATATGAATTCGCATTGGACATTACACAAATTTTTAATGTTATTTGGTTATAGTACTAGTTGACACCATGCATCAAAAAATTATTGGCACAAAAACCACAGGGCATCATGATAGTTCAAATTTCTCTAGTTCAAGAATTCTATACCGAGATTTGCTGGACTGAGTGTGATGGCATTTGCTTCCACGCACTGCAAGTATGTGCATGACTGAGAAATAAGCTACCCTCACAAATACTCTATGAGGTATTCTACAGTTGACCACTGAATAATCCTATCCCACTCAAATCAAGGTTCTATAAATAACTATCCATCTAAATCCTTAACTTTGTGATTCTCCAGCTTAAGCATGCAGCACAAACACCTGAAGTCCATGTAAAAATACAGACTCTTATGACCCAATCTCAGAGATTTTCAGTCGGTAGAGCTGGTGTGAACTTTGGAATCTGAGTTTATATGAGCAACCCAAGTAACCCTAATGCAGGTAGTATGCAGTCTACACACCGAGAAACAATGGCTCCGTGACTGCCTGATAGCCACCTACGGCAGTGATGGCGAACCTTTTGAGCTCGGCATGTCAGCATTTTGAAAAACCCTAACTTAACTCTGGTGCCGTGACACATATAGGAATTTTTTGATATTTACAACCATAGTAAAACACAGATTTATATTTTTGAAATTTATTTTATACATTTAAACGCCATTAACAAGAAAAATCAACCAAAAAAATGAGTTTGCGTGTCACCTCTGACACGTGTGTCATAGGTTCGCCATCACTGACCTAGGGGGATGGAAGAGCTACCCATGAAACAGCCAATCTGTTAGTGTCCTAGAGTTAGACATGGAATCATATTGGCAGCTAGCTTGGGAAAACAAATTCAATTTCTTTACCTCTTTGATTCTAAGTTCTACTAAACTGCCTGCACTGGAGTTGCCCTGAAGTATTTAAGGAAACTTTAAGAATTATATGCAAAAGATCTATTTGTAATCTCTAGATAATAGTTATTGAATATTTATTAACTTTTTTTAGATACTAAGAAGATAAATTTCTCTTTCTCCATAGCGCATAAAACATCTCCATGATTCTATAATAAAATGAAAAATGCATCCATCACTGACATCAAACACTAAATAGTCCCATTCAATATACTTAAGTTTACTGGTCACTGTTTGTCTCTCCCTCTAAGAATGTAAGTTCCATGAGTAGAGACTTTTGTCTGCTTTCCTCACTCATGTACCACCAATGCCTAGAACATGTCTGTCATATCCTGAAATATGGTAAGCACTCATTAAATACCTGTTGAATGGATGCTTACCCTACAGCACTGGAACAAAAGAATGACTTTTCAATAAGCTATTTTTGTATGAGTCAAGCAGTCACAGAATCTACAAGCAAGCCTCACAGGTTGTATGCTGGTTGGGAGAGGAGTGGAGGTTTATTATTCAATATCCAAGGAGTAAAGGACAGAAAATGAATGAAGCATCTACCACAGTGCCTGGCAGAGGGCAGTCCTCAGCACACACCAGTTCCCGGTCCCTTTTCTTAAAGCTAAAGGTTTGCTTCAGGTAATGTATTAAATGTCTACGCTTCACACAATGTAACCTCTGGTGAGATTTTTCCTCCTCTTAATTCAGCATAACATATTACACAATGCTAAGTGAACAAATAAAACCTAACTATCATAAGATCAGAGGCAAAATTTAAACCTTTTAATGATTTATGAAAATGAAATGAAAAAAAAGTCCCATGATAAAGTATTTAAAAAGCTACAAACTATATATGAAGTCTTAAGACCTATAAGAAAATTGCTTTTAGTTCCAGCAATTAAAATACTTTCTTCTCTAAGCTACTCAGGAAAAAGTATTCACTATTTTTCTCTGATTCTCATGCCACTTAATAGTGCACACGGAGCTCTTAATAAACACTGAATAATAAGCTAATGAATTAGATATGAATTTCTGACATAATGTAAACTGTTATCACTGCAGCATCACATGAATAGTTCTCCATTAAGATGTTTACTGATTTATAGGTACTATTTTTCTCATTATCTTTATACTCCCATATTCTTTTATACATTACTTAATTACTCCACTGAATGATTCAAAGGATCACAGAATGTGGCATGTTTATGACTTTATTGCACTTGTTAGTTTGTTCATCTCTCTCCCTCCGTTTAACTGTAAGTATTTCCAGGACAAGAAGGATTTGTTTTGGTTCTTGTTTAATTTCTACAGATCAGTACAGGCTTGACAAACCAAATATTGACTGAGTGACCATGAATGAATGGCCATATGAAGAATATATCTTTACATGCATGTCTAATCAACATAAAAGTATAGAATCAATAATTTACTTTCATGAGCAACAGTTGAAAGGAGTAACTTCTTAAACTTTTTTAAAAGCTTATTTTAAGAAATACCAATTCAAGCATATTAGTCTGTCTCTACAGTAACTTCTACCACTGATCTCTTCTCTCAAAGTTTCAACAATTCATTTGTGTGACTCAATAATTCCAGCTCAAACATCATACATGTACTCTAATGCCCTATTCTAAAACATAAATAAAGCAAAATACCACAAATTCAAAATAGCTGCTAACATGAAAATGCATACAAATTTCAATTTAGTATTATTTTTCACATAACCAGTTCAGTAACTATGCTAAGAATCCTATACTATTATTTTTAACTGTTTTTCTTTCTACCACAGAGCTAATCTATCACATCTGTATTTTCACCGTTGAAAATGTCTCTAAAAATTAGTTTCCTCTTTACTCTACTGCCAACCACCCAAGTCAAGGCTCCCAGCATTCTACACCAAGATGCACACAAGTTGACTTAGATGATTTTCTTGTCTCTACTCTTCTTTCCTTACTACATGCAGCAAGCCATTGGCCTTCTCAAAAACATGTATTGCCTCTTAATTGACAAGTAATAAAACGTAAAACACTTTGTCCCACATGAGGGCCCCTTAAAATCTGGGATTACCTCTTAGCACCTTGTATGTAGTAGTTATTGTGGTAAGGAGTTTGAATATGAAATATCAGTACAACCATAACCTAGAGGATTATTACTCTTCCATTTATAGACAAGAAAACTGAAATGAAGAGATTAGGTACTTCCCCAAAGCAAAAAAACAGGGCATGGAAGAGTTGGGATGAAAACATAGGTCTTTCTTGTTCCAAAACTGTATCCAGAGTATAACCCTGATTTTCTAAAATGAATTACTCATTACATACTTCCTCTTTCTTCACTAATTAAAGGAAAAAAGGAACCTACATTTACTGAATAGAACAAGGGACTTTATATGTGCTACATTATTGAAATCTCAAAATAATCATTCAGAGGCCTTACAATAAAAATGCACCTGTGTGGAAAGCGAAGTCAGAGGTGCTAAGGCACTCTCCTGGTGCTGCACAGCAAGAGCGTATCTAAATAAAGTATATTCACAGCAGAGCCAGAATCTGTTCTCTGAAGCCATCCTCTTTCCAAATGTCTATGATGTCTCATACTTCTCTAGACTTACTTTTGTCTTTTCCCAAATCCTTTAAGACAGGCACTGGCAAACGTTTTCTGTATAGGGTCATAAAATAAATGTTTGGGCTCTGTGGGGGATACAGTCTCTGTTACAATCACTCCCTGTGCCAATGGAACACGAAGACAACCACGGATAACAGTATACAAACCAGTGTGCTGTGTTCCAGCAGAGCTCCATTTACAAAACCAGTTGCTGGAGTGGCCAGATTTCGGCCATGGGCCATAGTCTGCCAACGACAGTCTATTCTCTGGTACACACTCAGTAAACTCATTTCCAACTCTATGGTTTTGCTCTAGTACTCTCTCTAAAGTGAATACTTTCCTGACCCTCACCTGCATTTATCCTAACTCAACTCGTCCTTCATATTCCCATTTACCCCTGAGCCATGCCGTCTCACACTACTCAAACAACAAACTCTCATTCTTAATTCACACAGCAATATCAATAGGTCAGTGCTCAAATTGTTATTGTTGCCGCAAGTCACAAATTATCTCAAGTGGGCTCAAAATAGAAACAAGAGCTTACACATCTCCAAAATGCTTTCAGTTAACATATTTCATATTACACACCCAATGGTTAATTCATTTAACTCAAAAAGCACAGTCTTAATTTAAGATAACTTTAATTTCACATGGGCAAAAAAACATGTATTTCTTCCTCCTACCTTGAATACAGCTTTGCAATTTATACAGTTTCATTAGGCTAACAGTTAAAAAGTAAACTGAGTAAATGCTTACTAGAATAGGAAGTAGCATCCATCTTTCCAACTTTAACTGGCGAACCAATGCTTTTCATTTCAAGACCAACTTCATTCCAAATCGGCTCCAGTTTTTTACAATGACCACACCATGGTGCATAAAACTTGTTAAAAAACAAACAGAAACAATCACTAAAATACTGTGCTACTGTGGATATCAGCCTTCATTTTAAAGAATCTCTTTGACAAAATGATCTAATAATAATCTGTTTTAGACAAAATAAAGACTAAATATTACTTTCAATTGGTTAACATAAAACATGTACATAAAGCATACCCCTCATACTGACACTATTTTAAGGTACTTTAAATGATTACTGATATATATTTTAAATAGATACATGATTTACAATAAAAGCATCTTTGTTTCCAAGTGATATGTCCATGTTATGTATAAAATGAGACCATCAAATACAACACACATCATGTACACACCCCTTAGGTGTTAATGATAAATTTGAATCTATTTCTACTACAAAAATTCCAACACAGCAGCTGCCTTTACTAGTTTAAGAGTAACCATTGATAAAATGGGAGAAACCATTAAGATGACTGGTTTGGCAGAGGGGCAAATAAGGCTGGTTAAACTAAAACCACAGTTCTTCCTTCTTCAGAATCACCAGCAGGCTGAGGTGGTAACTGGTGTTAGGTTAAATGGTGTAACAAAATGCTTGCTGTACTTTCATGAAATAGGACTTATTGATTTGTGAACACTATACTTTGGCAATGTTCAAACACAGGCATGAGAAAGAGGGAGAAATACACAGTGAACCTTGTGCCCACAGCCTGGCTTCACTAAGTGTCCACTCTGCTACTGTGAGTCTGTCTCTTCCGCTGCCACTCTCCTCTTTTACTGAGGCAGGAGAAAATGAACTCCAAACACCATAAAGTGTGAATATAATCCACACTTGAAAATGAGAAAAATTTGACTTTGTTACTATTAAGATGAAAGATGATTTTGACTGCCAAGTGATTAATATACACAGTCTCTTGGGTAACATGACAAACCGAGAGTGAATTCTGAAATAAAAATCATACGATAATCTCCCTCAGACACAATCCACAAGCCAACCTCATCAGAACTTCATCAAAGTCAAGTTCCTTGCCAGGAACCTTAAGGCTCTGAGGTTCATTTTAATATAAAAACCCAAACAGTACTACTTAAGAAAACAAATTGAGTAATGTATCTCAGTACTAACTATATATTTGGGTGGAAGAGAATCTATATATATAAAAGCCTAAGTGACTGGCTAACTGGCCAGTAGCCATGATGTGCACTTGACCACCAGAGGGCAGACGCTCAACACAGGAGTGGAAACCACAGGCATGGAAACATAGAAGAGATTGATGAATCTCAGAGAAAAGGGGGGTGAGGGAGGGCAGGAAGAGATTAACCAAAGATCTTATATGCATACTAGAGGACCCTCAGCCTGGCCCTCAGCCTGGCCTGTGGGGATGGGGCCAAAACCAGCTCTCTGACATCCCCCTGAGGGGTCCCGGATTGTGAGGGTGCAGGCCAGGCCGAGGGACCCCACTGGTGCATGAATCCGTGCACTGAGCCTCTAGTAGAAAATAATTTTTAAAATTGGAGGGGTGGTTAATTAGTACAAAAATTTTACATACTCACATCTACAAGCCAAATGTCATCTTTTCGATTGTCCTTAAACCTACAAAACAAAAAACAAGGAAACAAGTCTTTGTATATTTCTACTTTACCACTGAATAACAGGTGGGGATAATTAGTTGATAAATATAGGGGCATGCAACAAATTCTTTTAATAAATTTTTACATGCAAATTTTACTCAATGATCTCTAAATCTTATCCATTAAACATCATAATAAAAGTAGAGAACTGAAGTAATGAAGTGGCAGTTGGTAGAAACACAGACACATGCTCAGTACCTATGCCTTCTGCTCCATTCACACCTGGAGTTAGTTAATGCAGCAGGCCTGAGGCTGCTATCCTTGGAAAGCTTGCCTGCCTTGGGTTGCCCTTAGTTGGCATCTGGGAACTTGAATTTCAGCTTCTGATAATGATGACTCAGTGGTTTTACACTGAGCAAACAACATGGTTTTGTGAGAATAGCTGCTCTCCTTCTTGCCCTTTCCAACCCCTAAATAGAAAAGAGGTCTAGGAATTGATGGGCCCAATCAGCTACTGATGCTGTCACATAACCCATGTGGGGATCTGGACGGCACCCATCTACCAGGTTATCAGAAAGGCCACTGCCTTTGAGTGGGGCCCCAACTAGCAGGACACCCTGGCAGCCCTCCAGCAGGCCACCAGGGCTCTCTTCTCCTGGATTCCACGGATCTATATCCTTCCCAAGTTGACTGAAACATACAACCCATTGAGAGGCAGTTATTGGCCTGTTGCTGGGCCTTGGCAGCCAAGTGCAGTAGTAGGCTCATGAGCAGAAATTCCAATCATGCTGCTCATGAGGGAGACCCTGGACTCTATGGTGTAGTAGCAAAGGCACAGGAGCGCAGCCGGAGTCTTACAACTCCATGAAAAGGTCTCCCAAGTGGCCCTCCACCTCAGGAATAACATCCAAGGAGCCTCCTCAGGTCCAATGGGGAACCAGAGACAGAGTCCTCCTGGACCGCCCCTGGACCTGGGTCAATGATGGCTCCTTCGGGTTAACTTACTGGAATAGAATTGGGTGTGGACACCATTCAACCTTCACCAAGCATGGTGGAGTACTTTGAACTTGTAAGGCTACTTGTAATGGCTAGGACTGTAAGATAATCTGACCACTGCTCTCCCACCTCCCGTTCCTCACTCCAGCCCCAGCAAATAAGCACTGCTCTATTTTCACGGGCCTCTATGCTGACAAAGGAAAACGGAATTGAGGAGCATGCCAGGCTTGTCAGCTAAACATGGAAAGGAATTGTTACCCCAGAGCAAGCAGGGGTGCAACTGATTGTCTGCTGGGTCCACCAGAGGACAGAAATTCAGACACCATCTTGGATTGGGCTGGTGTGAGAAGACACTAAACTAGCACGAAAAACCTGTCCTTCTTGTCAAACCCAGGCATCAGTGGGTCAGGGCATTCACAGCACGTAGCACACACTGCACCCCTCATGATGGCGGGCCATACCTGTCAGTCAACAGAACATCCATCTAAAGAAGGTGAGGGTTTGGGGTGCCTATGCCTGTTCATCTTCCCTTCCTCCTCCCCAGGTAAACTCATGGCTAAAGTCATGGCTGCCAGGCCATTCTAAAGGAGGAGGTCTACAGTTACTGTCAGACCCCCAGAGCAAGGACGATGGGCCAGGTACAGAAACTCACCAGGGCAGAAAGCTCCAGATGCCTACCAAGGGGCAAACCTGAGAAAACAAGGACCTTGCCCCGGGGCAACGTATCCCCCCCTAGAACATCACCGGTAATGCAGTTTGGATCCTGGATCTTTCCTATCGCTGGTCAGGCTGCTTAGACCACCCCTGGCCCTTTTCTCTCTAAAGATAACATCTAGGCCTCAGTTGTATTTCGGCTTCAGGCCCAGAGAAGCAGCAAAACCAGACAAGTGGTGCCTTGGCTGCCTCAGGACTAACTATATTGCCTAATGACCCCCTGCCCTAGCACTAACCAATTGGTGGAGAACACCATGCTTAAAGAGCACACCTGGAAAACTGATGAATATTCTATTAAGACTCTCCCCTGAAACCCCTATTTCCACCTTCAAGAGAGAGAAATATGCTCAAGGTAAAGGACCCAGTGTGCACTCTCTCAGCAAAGAGCAACCCCTTGCCCTTCCTCCACAGGCATGTATCCCCCAACCTCTAAGGGACCCTATGAGACTTGCAACCAGGGGAGCAATGAGCAGCAGCAGCTTGTCCCAGGCTCCACCCCTGAACCTGTCCCCAAGGCTCCTTTTTCTCTAACTTCCCAGTGAGACAAAGCAGCCCAGCCTAGGCTCTCCTGTTGCTTCTTCTATGCCCTTCTTCGTTTTACTGTCCTAAATACATTTTTTGTTGCCATCATGACCCAATACCCTTTGGCTCAGTGCTGTGTAGCCCATCCCTTTGGATATCTCCATCACCCATCCCCTTTTCCTTAAATAAATTCAGTTATTCTTTCTCACTGTCTAAGATGGCTATTTAGCCTGCCTCCGTACCACTAACTTTAACCTTTAACATTTAAGAACATTACCTCCCTGTTGACAATGGTTCTCCCAGGATCAAACAGTTTCTGTAAACAATCTGCTAGAACTCCCCAGTACTCACTGGCATGGCTGATAAAGGGCCCCATGGGACCCTGAGGCTTTTGCTTGTCAGAATGGCATGTGCTCAACTGACCACCCTGCTGCTACGGCAATGTTGTCAAGTGGAGCTGGTAAGTAGGACAACAAGTCAAACTGAAAGTAACAACGGAGGCTTTCTTCGTTACTGCTCTGATGCAAGCCAAGGGGCACACAAAAAAGGCACCAGCTCCTCAGTGTTCCGTTTTCCCAAGTGGACCCGCGCCAGGCAAGGGTCACCACATACAGAGGAGCAGTGAACCAAAGGCTTCTTCTGCCTCTGCCTCTGCCTCTTTATGGACCCCTGGGCAGAGGGACGGCCAGGGAAAGGGACAGGTGAAAGCGCTGAGTCCAGGTGGAGCAAAGTGCCTCGGCCACGCCCCTCTTTAAGGAGGTCTCTGCAAGGTGCACAGGAAATGCCTCAGGTGAGCCCCCTGCCTCCTGCCTAAAGGCAAGTGGGCTAGGAATGCAGACGTGTAGCCTAGCTAGCACGCTGGCCCTGGAGACCCGAGTCTATGACTACAACTGCCTCCAGAGACTATGGGGCACTGGTTGTACAGTGAGTTAAGTGTGGGGAGGGTAGTTTCCCCTTGGAGGCCTGCCAGGTAAAGCTTTACCACTGTCTGAAAGATCACACATTGGGTTTTGGTCTGGAGCACGACTCTTCACCTACTATAAGCAAGGCCTTGTGATTAACGCTGTGGTACTGTAAAAACAAATACAAACACACACACACACACAGCATGGTCCCAAATTCCAGCAGCCACTTACTGATTAAAGCAGAAAAACATAGCAAATGCAGGTGAAATGATAAAATAGAACACAGATGAGTTTGGCACTTTTTAAAATCTTACAACTTAGTAAAACTCTTTGAACAAAATTAGTGCTATATACAGTACGCACTGGTTATTACTGGCTCTATTATTAAAAGACTAGATTCATACAAATATTCAGAGTTGGAAGAAGATACTACTTAAAAATATATATACTCACGATTCATCTAAATCTTCTACGAATCCTTTACAGAAAGCCATCTCAAGTAAAAAAACTGAAAGAAAAAGGGAAAACATATATAATAAATGCTGGTGTATCATTTGGCTTGTACTATAAGCTCAGTCATCTAAAAAAAAAATGTTTTTGATTTTTATCAACCTACCAAAAAATTCATTGAACCATCCCAGGGCACAAGTGATGAAAAAGCATAAATAGTTCAAATGTTTAATAAACACTCTGCATGCAACCGTACTGTGAAAGGCTAGTCAATCACAGAGGTTCTTTTTAAATATATTTCCACTTTCATCCCATTTTTCCTTGTTACATGCCATCTTTTTGGAATAGGGATAGAAATCGTTGTTTTTCCTTTTTCTCTAATACCAATGATCTCCTCGGCATAAACTTCAAATACCATTCTACATACTTTAGCTTTTTTTAAAAAAAAAAATTTATATTGTTGAAAGCATTACAGGTGTCTCATTTTCCCTCCAGTAACCACCGCTTCCCCACACCCTCCCCAGGTCTTCACCGCACTACTGCCTGTGTCGATGAGTTCTGCATTTATGCATTTACATTCTTTGGTCAATCTCTTCCAAACGGTTAGTTTTTATTCCCAATTTCATAGGTCTTGAGCTCCACCAATACGTATTCCGGAAGAGGATCTGGCACATCCTGGTTACTGAGTGAAAACAGCCCAGAGGGAAACACGGGCGCGGGGGCTGAGCAAAGGCCCACCCACATTCGGGGCACTTTCCACTGGACACCTGAGTCTGTTCTGCCCTGGGACACCCCTCCCTTCGCCCCTTCTTCCCAAAGACTGGGAACCTAAAGCCAAAACCCTGAGTGGCTGCACCTTCGGAAGGTAGCATCCTTCACGCCTGTAAGTGGAGCCAGCGCTCCGGAAACTTCCTGCCACCCCGAGAATCAGAACCGAACGGAGGAAAACTCATCCTTCCCGCGGGTGACACTGGTCTCGGGCAGCCCGCGTGGGAGGAAGGAGCCGCGGTGAGGGATGTCTCCGGGGACCCCGCGGCGGGTCCAGGCCCGACCCCATCCGGAGAGGGTCCCCGCGCCCACCCGCACCACCCCCTCCAGGCCTGTACCAGTGGCGCAGAGCCGCAAGGCAGCCCCGGGTGTCCGAGCTGCCATGGTCGCCGCAGGAGAGCTGCAGGCCGAGGGAAGCAGTAGCGG